CACAGAAGCAGAAAGTCTAGTAGTAGGGGCTTTTGAAGCCTTGACTGTCGCCAAGCAGCATCCACTGCGTGAAGCTCTGGTAGGGAATGAGGCTCATCACCGTGACCCTGGCTGAGCTGAGTTTATGGAAAGCACGATGCATATTTGTCGAGATTAGCGAGATTAGGGTAGCGATGACATCTGGGCCCCGGCGCAGGGCTTTAAAGTAATTTGAAGCCAAGTGGCAAGTGGTCGCAACCAAAGGAAAGCACAGAAGGTATATGCGCACCAAGAATGAAGTTAGGACTCCATAGACGTCCGAGCGCGATTAGGTGGGTTTTGAAGGATGAATCTCCTGCCCTAGGCAAAGGCTTCGCGGAGGCTCCAGATGTAAGCTTCGCAAGGCTACAGGTGCCAGCTGAGGTCTCCGCATGCAGAGCCGCACGTGCGTCACCTGCATGATGCAAGCAGCAGCTACAGTCTTTCTCGCAGCGGGCTTCTGCTTTTGCTGCGCCCATCCCAAAGCATCTGCCCTTCTCATAGAGCGGGAGGCATCAAGGTAGGGAATACTCCCAAGTAGGATGGTCCTCACCTGCGTGAAGAACTCCACGATGGCCAGACCTCAGAACCAAGCGCACATGTGCTCCGGTGGGTTGAACAGAAGCCCGTAGCTAATGCAGCCACGCACCCACAAGCCTCAACTTGAAGCCCAAGTCCCGAAACCGAACCCCTGCACCTCGGGATCTTGAAAGTACAAGAGGGCCACGCCACTTCTCCAGAATTTGGCAAAATTCGAAGTGAGATCGACTCTGGTGCGGTCGCTGAGTCTGCGGCCCACAAACTGACGGTGGTTCGCTTTACCTGCAGTCAGCCAGAAAACTTTGGAGGGAAGGAAACACGCAGATACACGGGACACGGTGAGGATCTTCCGAGTCGTGCGCTTCTTGCCCTTCTTCACAGTGTTGAGAATTCTCTTGCATGATTGATGTCAAGCTGACGGCGGCATTAAGCCCATGGTCTTCGTCCTCGTCATAGTCTGGGCACTTCACCATCACTATCACTATCATCATCGTCGTCAGTATCGCCACCGCCATCATCATCGTCATCATCATCACCATCATGATCAGCAGCAGCATCCTCATCATATTGGAAAACAGCCGTCGTTTCAACAATCCAGCCAGAGTGGTGAACTTGTCCAACAACGCACAATCAGAACCAGAACCAAATCCAGCGTTTCGACAAGGGGCCTATGGTATTGTTCAGCCAGACGCAGTAGTGGTCAAACTCCTGCAGGCAGAGCTCAACTGAAGGAAAGAATGCCTGCTGTTGCACAACAAAAACCTCATGACACATACGCCGCATTGCGATTGCCGCTTGCACTCAGCACATGTTCACACGATGCCTCATACTCCTCGGCACGCGCAGGCTCACGAAGGAATCATCAGAAGCTTCGATGACATGCTTCACCATCCAAGGCGATGCACTTGGCCTTGCCTATTTTCTATGTATTACACTACGTCATATGATGTTACAACAAGATGAAATTATTGCTCTTTTCTACTGCCACATCCCCAGTCGCCTCCACACAGGCCCCGGTTTGCACGCAGTATTTCGTGCGAAGCCTCGGCTCCAAAAAGAACCGTCTGACTGACTGGCTTTGCTTTGGTGGAAGTAAGGGTCGCACCCCTTCATCACCCAAGTCGTCGTGCAAAGTCGATTGATGTCGGGCGGCTCAATGTCCTCGGAATACAGAGACGCTGGTGATCTTAAATTCACCGCAAACCGCCTTTCTTCCTGCTTTGCCGTGCAAATGTGGGTTCCTGCTGTGAGCCCTTGGGATCCCAAACTAGCCACATGAAACACTACCGAACTCCGGCTGCCAGGTGACGCCCGCCGGGCTGTCGATGACCTTCATCAGCTCCTTGAAGGCTTTGTCTTCGAGAGATTCTGGTTTCAGGTGCTGCAGAGCTATAGTCACGTCACAGTCGGGCTTTGGCACTGCCGCCTGAGGATTCGTTTGGTGGATTTCTTTGTTAGGGCGAATGGTGTCGAATGGTAAGCTACCAGTCCAGCGAGCTGGACTTCTGTTTGGCCTCTTGGGCCTGTGGGCCATGCCTGGTCCATCAGCGCATAGTCTGAGCACACTTAGACTTTCTCGCGCGGAAATCCGGCAGCATGGGATAACTGTAGCGGGTGATCCTTCTGCTCGAGCTGCTGACCGTGTCACTTCGAGGAGGGTTCCACTGATCTACGGAGATATTGGCTAGCAGCACTCCGCTTAATGACGGCGCTCTGAGGATTCCTCGACCCTGAAACGCATAGGCAAAATGATCAAAACTGGCGTTCCGAAGCTCTGGAGCTGGGGCCCACACCTCCACTGCCGAATTCCCCTGGGGCCGTGCAGGAACCTGCGAGACTTGTCAGAGGCGGAGCAACGGGACTCGGGAATTCGGCCTTCGCTTTTGCTTGTGGAGTATTGGGGTGGAAGGTGTGCGGCCTCTATGTCGGAACGGTGAGGGGCGAGGGACAGCGAGGTGGGAGCTGTGGCGTGAATTTCCCACGCCCCATGCCTGGGTTGGATGGCTATGGTGTTCTATATAGGGTACAAGCACTCAAACAGCGTCTGCGGCCCCGAAACGTACAACCTCCGGTGCGATCTATGCAGAGCTGAAACATCTTGCAGAGTTCTCCAAAAGTACGGGCTTCAAGTTGCGCTTGATTTCAGGCTGATGGTACTTGCAGAGTTCTCCAAAAGTACGGGCTTCAAGTTGCGCTTGATTTCAGGCTGATGGTAGAGCTCAGAAGGTCCAGGATGAAAAATTCTTGAACTCCAGCAAATGAGTGTTTAAGCTCTTTTGAAACATGACTCTGATATTCTATGACGATTTCAAGAACCTGGGAGGTGCTTTTCCAGCCTTTGAAAAATATTAGTGAGTAAGATCCCTTTGAGCCCAATAAAAGCAAACATAAAATGTCTCCAAGCCCTACCTAGAATTCTAAAGGCTAGTTTTGGGGTCCTTATAGTAAGGATCCTACCATTTACGGTTGTTTTTTTAAGGGTCCCTTCCATTTTCGGAAACTCTAAACCATAAACCCCTTATATAGAACCCTTTATAGGGATCCCTTTAAGGAGCCCCTTTTTAAAGGGCCCCCTCTTTTTTGGGGAAACTCCTTTAAAGGCTGCTTAAAGATCCCAAAGAGCTCGGGAGCGCACCGTCCCAGGGTCCCCGAGGGCCACGAAGGTGAAGAAGCCCAGGGACCTTTGGACTCTAAGGTTTTTTTTTTTTTAGGTGTAGTGGGGCCTTTTACGGTTTATAGGGTTTGGGGTTTGGAGAGCCCAATTTCTTCCTGTGAGTGTGAGAGAGAGCGAGAGAGAGAGAGAGAGAGAGAGAGAGAGAGAGAGTGAGTGTCTGTGTGTATGCAGGCTGTATATCCTGAAACACCAAACATAGACTCCCAAAGCCAACAATAGCATGAAGCCAGAGGCACTTAGCACCCAAAGTCCGGCATCAAACGCACGCAAAACCCCGACAGAATTCCCCAAGGCTCTGCTCAACACCATCTCTCTTTGCAACTCAGGTTCAAAGGCACTAGTAGCTCGAAGAGGAAGGCTGTGACGGGAGCCACCTCCGCCGCGAAGGTGTTTGCAAGTTCACGGAATGTGAAGGAAGCGACCAGCTTGCATAGCCTAAGACAGCACCAGCATAGACCAACTGCGTTGTAGCCCACCCGTCTCTACTGCAAGTGCTTCGAGCTGTGACAAGGTTTGGCATGGTTGTCAACTGAACTATCCCGGACTTTGCGGTGCCTGCAACTGGGCATCGGATGGATCGCAGGTGGGAGCAGTCAAGTCAATTAGCTTTGGGAAACCCCACAGGGCCTCGTATCCGACTACCCGAATATCCATGATGTACTGGAACACGGCCAGAGACACGCAGACCTGGTGTGGAAAGTCTCAGCCGCAGCTGCCGTCCATGTCTCGAGGGTGTTCGGTCTGCTACTGCTTTTACAAGGCTCTCATCGACCACGCAGCTGTGGTTGCATCTGCCTTGCACTGCTGCAACATGCGTGACTTCTACTTTGGGAACCTTACAGCAAACATGCCGGGGAGGACCAGCCAGAAGACCGGAAAGATCTTGTGGGCTGCTTTGTCCTCACGGAAACTGGCTGACACTCATGACTGCAGGGCTGCAAGCGCGGTAGTCGCTGGAGGTTGGCAGCTCAGCTGCCCTCATTGTTCCATATTCCGTTGGCACTTTGCTATACTTTGCTTCAGGGGTCTGGGCTTGCTGCTGTTTGCGAAGCTCTAGCAATGCCTGGTTCCTAAGCTGCTGTCAAGATCTCGACCCTCCAGCTCACGGATCAACTGCAGGAAACTGGCAAACTGAACCAGAACGACAACGCTAGCAGATGTTGTGGTTGACTCTACGATCTCCCATATTGGGAAGCGCAAGCCCCAAACACGCTCCTGCATGAGGCCTTTGAAGAAACCAGGCTTGCCTTTGCCGCTGCTTTCTGCCTGGCTGAAGCTGCTGCTTCGGGTGCGGGAGATTTCATGTTTGGTTGAGGAGGTCAAGCGTCAGTGGCAAGGTAGAGTACAAGTCAAGATTGTATTGCGTGGCCGCAGATGCAGCCTCAGAGAAAAGAAGCCAATGCAGCATTTCCACAAGAGATACGCGCAGTTTTTCCAGCTTCGCGGCGCCGCTTGCGAAGCCTCTCTGTCCCTCTAGAACAAAAGTCAGCTAAGCATGGGAGCCCCAACCCGCATGCCTCTCTCTGATGGCGGTTCTCAGGTGGAGCTGCCTGCGATGTCTCCGGAAGGTATGGGGGCTGGACAACAGAGAATGTTTGCAAGCCACGGAGGCGCATGGTTTCAAAAGATTGCTTCACTTCAAAAGCATGTCTGATTATCAATGTCTGCTTAATCCGCGCTGCGTCCGGCAGTAGGAGCCGCGTGGAGCCTTGGTCCAGCCCAACGAATCAAAGCGGCGGAACCCCTGCTATGTACAAAGGGGATGCTCTCACCGTGCCGTCAGGTTCATCTTGTTGACCTCGGCCAAGCACCTGCGAAGATGGTCTCTGACAATTTGAACGGTCGATCGATGCTTGCTACCGCGGAGGGTCCTCAATGAAGAGAAGTGAAGTAGAGCCCAGAAGTAGAATCCAATCAAGATCACACATTTCTCATGTCTTCGGACTCGAGAGTGACGCATGCCGTGTATACAAAGGCATATACATGCCGATGCCCAAACACCAAGAAAACGGGTCCCCTCGTGCATTGCCAGGCACTCGGCCGAGAGTCCGGGACGGAGCTTCTCGCCAGGGGCCCCATCGGCCGATGGGGAAAGGCTCTGTGCAGCAGCGATCCTTGGGAATTCAGGGCTTCAGAGCTTTAGGAGCATTAATGTGAAAGGGTATTGTCCGAGTCCTTGAGAGGGCCTAAAACAGGCTGCTCGAAGTGCCTGAAACGGAGGGCCTGCGGTTGTCAGGGGGAGCTGAGGCATCGATCGCGAGCCCTGGACGGCTCAAGGAGCCACCCTTCCCTGGTCCCCTTGAGGATGGCAGGACGGAGCCTACTAAATGTAAGCCGAAGCTGCGTGCCGAAAATCATGATGAAGAGGCCATACCTGCAGCTGGAACACAAGGGGCATGCGGTGTCTACTCCCAGCCCAACGTTGCTGCTTACGCGAACATCTGCGACAGCCCGTAGTGTCTTTGCATGGCTAGATACCAGGTAATCCCGTGCATGCTGTTGCTGTCGCTTGTCCTCGCGGTTTGCACCTCACAGTTACTGGGACACGAACTTCGGCTGGACTTTGCCAAGTTGCACCAGGACTAGCCCATGTAGAACTTTCCTGCAGGGTCCGACCTGCACTCAGCTGCCGAAGCACGAAGTTTCGAAACTCATGGCAGGTGGTGTTGCTGCTACACGTGCAACATACCCCCGGCTTTATCACTCGGTGATGCATGTGGCAGCTACCCGGGACTGTAGGTGCTACACCGCCCTTGAATAGGTGAAGTTGCTTAGAGCTGCAGTGAGTTTGGGTCGCATGGCCGCCCAGCAGCCCTCCCCGAAGCCCAGCCTTCTTCACTTTGCAGTAGTGAAACGCCACGATTGGGAAAATCTTGGTTGTGGTGAGAGCTCTCACGGCTCGGTGAATCAGAGGCCATTTCCAAACCCCAGCAACAACAAGGATGCGAAGCAACAACACTTGTTTTTGTGGACTGTTAGGGACTTCGCTTGCTGGCCAGCGGCCAAAACCAAGGCAATGACACGAGATTAAGAGGATTTCCTCAGGGTTCCTTATATGATGATCATAAATATACTCGAAGAGAGACCAAAATGCTGTTCTAATCCTTAAGGCCGAAAACTAACTCCACTAGGCTCCCCTCCTTTGCGAGGGCTCCCGACTTCCAGGATGACAGTCCTTCGTCCTTTGTTTCTGCAAGGTTTCATATGGGAAGTTCCGGACAGTTCCGGAAAATTGGAGGGTACCTACTTTGGGGGTCCTTATAACAGGGATCCTACTATTTAGGGTACTATATTAGGATCCCCTGTTTTCGGAAACTCTAGACCCTAAACCCTTTATAGAACCCTTATAGATCCCATTAAGGAACCCTTCAAAGGGTCCCCTCTTTTCGGAAACTCCCACAGGATTCAATCTCCGTCAGTAGGGTTGAGGACTTAGCAGGTTCGGGATCATGCTCCACAGGAACGACTTACTGTCCAGGATATCAGGACCCTGTTCGATGTATTTAAAGGCCCCCTGTATTCGTACTTCGTAAGATATCTAGTTCATGATTGGGATAGGACAAAAAAACATTTCTATTCTTTATTGGGTTTAAGTACCCATAAAAATTGTAAATGTTACCCAACTTTGACGAAGACATCTGAATCTGGGTGCGCCAAGTCACGATGTTGTTGCACACGCCTTGGCGGCCAGGGAGGGTGGTCTCTGCAAGCTTGACGGGGCACGGGTGCTTGGAGGATCATGGGACTTAGTAAGTAAGGTTATAAGTACCCTAATTGGAGTCAAAAGTATAGTTTTCCTATTTATACCCCTAGTTACTAAGTCCCATATCCTCCAAGTGATGGTGTCATAAAACCCAATTTACAGCACTGCCATAAAACCCTTAATTAGACGGCCCTGCAAGAAGGAACACCGTTAAGAACCTTTCGACACCCTTCAAGAACCCCTATAGAAGCCTCACAGAATCCGCCAGGAGCCTCTTTGAAAGAAGGCGAAGTCAGGAGCTATGGCCGCTCAGAAAAACGGAAGCATGCATCTGAACAACACTAGATTTGGGTACTGTGGCCTAAACTGCATTTCATTGGATTATGTGGGGGACTATGGGCATATGATTACCAACTCTTCCGACATCCATATTATACAAAATATATCGTCGGCCGCAGGGAAGCGCTGATTTTGCTCGGAGGGGTTGGGAGATGAGGGTCGAGAAAGAACTTTGACACCGCACCACGACCACTATAGGGTGACGTCGTACCCCGATCTGTACACAGTAAAGACTCACCACAATATAGAAGCGTGAATACTCAGTAATGCTACTCGTCAGAATTCTTTACTGTAGTTACAGTGCAATATAGCCCCCACAAAACCCTGGTCAAGTTATAAGACCCCTACATGACCGAGATGCTCACAATGCCGAAATCCCGAAGGCTTCTTGATCCCACAGGGCCCTCCCTACCACCTTTCTGGATGCCCACGGTTTAGGAGTTTAGGGCCTCCTTTATCGAAGCCCGAGTAAACCCTTACCTCCCCAAGGCCGAATCCCTGAACCCTCTCAAATTTGCAGCTGGGTGGCAAAACAGGGCGGCAACCAGAGCGCTCATCGCCACCTTATAGTACCCGAAAAGTAACCTCATTAATCAATACCTTTATCGTACCACCTTGTTTGCAGGGCCTATCAGGCCTTCTGATGGGTTTTGATAGGGGTTGCATTATGGTGTTTATAGGGTGTTACTGGTGGGTTATTAAGGTCCTTCAGGGTTCTGTAAGGTCTTCCTAGGGATTAGAGTTAATATTTGGAGTAGGGTTTTGGGGTACACTATGTTAGCAGGATAACCAGTTAAAGCCCCGAATCCCTCAAACACCTATAACACACTTGTCGCAAGCCTTTGCAGAACTCTGTTAAGATTCCCAGTCTAACAGGAAGGGCCACTGTCAGGAGACTTGCGCAGGGTGCGCTCAGAAGGAGTCTGTGGAGGCCAAGTGCAATGATTGGCAATGACTCCTCGCTCGAAAAAACGCGATGTTAAACTGAAGTGCAGTAGGTATAGTATAGGTGTTTAGGGCTTTTCTCATGGTGCACGCTGCACAATCCAGTGGAGTAGGGTTTCGGTTATTGGGTTTTGCTCATAGCCCAATCTCTTCAATACCATCTGCCAGAGGGCGAAGGATTCGATGCCTGTCGCGACGATGAATCTCAGAGCCGCGAAGCTGATTCGCATAACCTGTGTCGAAACTCTTTTGCAATGCTGGAAGGTTCGTGCTCTTGGGTGCATGGCTTGTGTGATTCATACGAGACTTCTGGAGAGGGGTTCTTGTGTCGGGAGTGGGTTGCAAGAGGTACAAGAGTCCTGCCTTCTTCGCCCAGCGGGGACCGCGGCGGAAGACTCCTCTGAGGCAAACCAAGGGTCAGAAGGCGCAAGTCGAGAAAGAGATTGAAGGCCGTTAGCTTGAGTGCTCTGGCTGCTTCCGATAGACAGCAGGCCAAAGTGGACTTCATATGCCTCAACGTCCTTTCTCGCCGTCGGAATCCAAATACGAGGGCTCGACTCTATCATCGAACTCCTCTCAACGCCCTCGAAAGAAGTCCAGCTGCAATCAGGCCAAGCAGCCTGGGAAGGAGGCTTCCACTGCGAGCCTCGGTGTCTTAAGGATGCCCTGCATTCCTTCGAAGTGAGAGGGCCGGGTCCTCCTAGTGATAGTGGTCCGAGTCGTTTTCGCTGCTAGGCCGGGCCCTTCGGGAGTTTCAGGTTTAGGGCTGAGAGCCCACGTCGGACCCTTGATGCCCTGCAGAACTCGGAGTGGAGGTGAGAGTTCGCTTTCTAGGCCTAAGAGTAACCTCGGAACAAAAAGGCTGCCCTTTTTGGTTTAAAGGGGCTTATAAGGGAACCTGAACCCTAAAAAAGAGAATAAGGGCCTACTCTAGGTCCTAGCTTTCAGTCGTGTTTCTGTACATGTTGTCTCTGGAAGCTCTGCGAAGCCACGAAGTTTACATCACAAAGTCCCCAGTTCGCTGGAAGCAAAGGCTGAGGCACCGGCACTGTACAGGGAATCCAGATGGCTTCTGTCATGAGGAGGTTTATGGTCCTGGGCTCTCTTTAGGAGGGGCCTTCATAATTAGAATAGGGTTTTGAGGCCATTATACTCTAACTACGATAAGGACCCCCCAAAATAGTATAGGTAGTTATTCAGGCCGCCATGGTAGAACTCTGCACCTCTGAAAGGACCGCGACTGTCATGGAAGCCTCGAGCTTGCAAGGCCCAAAGGCATTCGAAACACGGACTGCTATCTGGTTCAGGAACTTGCTTCAAGGTGCCTTGACTGGGTGTGGATTGTGACCTACAGCTCCAGAACGGAGGCTGCCTGCTCTTAGTTTCACTAAACCTCGCCCTGGATGCAGACTCTACAGCCAGCTTCAATGATCACACAGCAAGAAGCCTCACTTGCTATCGGTACCGTAGACCCGAAACCGCCTTTGTCCCGAAACCGGAATTCTGAAGGTGCCACGTCGTGCTTCAGAGATAGTTGTTGGTTTGGCTTCTGCTGCTGCTACTCTTTTTCTTCACTATCCGCTTCCCCGCCCCCTCTCCCCCTTTCCTCCTTTCCCCTTCCATTGAGGGCCAGGGCTCACAATCAAGTCCAAGCCCGCGCCGGCAACCTGCGGCCAGGAGCCGGAAGTCTCGCAGGCCCGAGGCTTCAGAGGTCTCTACCATACGACCCGAAATAGCAAAGCTCAACAAATCACAAAATTCCTGAAAACCCTACTAAAGCCATAAATCACACAAGTCTGAAATTCCTACTAAACCCCAAAGCTCTAAAACCCCTCAACTTCTTCTTTCATCCCCCCCCTCCAATCCCCTGAGGGCCCGGGCCGTGAGGTTCCCGAGCTCCCAGGCGCGATCGAAGGCCCACCAGCCCGTCGGCCGGTCCTCGCACAGGAAATGACTCGGTCGAAGCTTGAGGGCAAGCCCCCGCGGGAGCTGCCCGTTCTCTCTCTCTCTCTTTCTCTTTCTCTCTCTCTCTCTCTCTCTTTCTCTTTCTCTTTCTCTCTCTCTCTCTCTCTATCTCTCTCTCTCTCTCTCTATCTCTCTCTCTCTCTCTTTCTCTTTCTCTTTCTCTTTCTCTTTCTCTTTCTCTTTCTCTCTCTCTCTCTCTCTCTCTTTCTCTTTCTCTCTCTCTCTCTCTCTCTATCTCTCTCTCTCTCTCTTTCTCTATCTCTCTCTCTTTCTCTTTCTCTCTCTCTCTCTCTTTCTCTTTCTCTCTCTACGCGAGGTCCTTGACGAGCAACTTCAGCAGGCTTGGCAAGCGGACAGGCAAGGGGATAAGTCCGCAATTTGGCAGGTTATCAGACGCCTAGCACCGAAAACCGCAAAGGTTCGTATTCAACTCCGGGGCGCCAAAGGTGAGCTGTTGACAAAGCGAGAAGAGGCCAAACGTTTTACTCAATACTGTGAACAGGTTTACCACCTGCCCCATGATCTCTCATCGGAGGAGTCCTCTGTCTCTGACCAACCATGTGACACTACTCCCACCCCAGCCCTGCCTACCGAAGCTCATGGTCCTGCCCAGCGCCTCCGGCCCCCCTGGTGGATGGCCGCCCCCAACAAGCGCTCGCCAGTCATCCTCTCAGTGAAGCCGAGCTTTTGTTGGCGATAAACACTCTCCCTGCCCGGAAGGCCACGCCACAGCACCTTGCGCAACTTCTGTTGTGGCACCTTGGCAAGGAGGCGGTGGTACCACACCTTGCCGCCCTTTGTGAGAACCTATGGGAGAAGCCTGGGACGTTCTACCGGCTATGGGCTGATGCATGGGTAGCCTGGCTTCCTAAGCCAGGAAAACCACCGGACCAGCCTAAAAACCTGCGACCCATAGCATTGACGGAGGGAGGGGGCCGCATCGTTGTCAAAGCCTTAACCATGCGCCTTCGCCCAGTCTTTGCCGAAGCCACTAAACTGTGGCCCCAGTACGCTTACACGGCTGGCAGAAGCATAGACCATGCAATCATACGTGCCTTGCATCACTGCTCCCAGGTCCAACAAACCCTGGCGTCGCAACGTCTTACACTACGGGAACGTCGCCACACTGGCCGGAAGCCCACCTCTTGTCAAGGGGGAGTAACGCTCTCTATTGATACGAGCAAAGCGTTTGACACTGTCAATAGACAGGTCCTCGAGCAAGAGCTGCGGGCGGCCCGTGTACCGGAGCCGGAGTTGGAAGTTATCCTCAACCTCCACCACTGCATCGGCTACTGGCCTGCAGGCCAGGACCCCACAACTCGCGTGGAGAGTGAAAGGGGTGTGCGGCAGGGATGCCCGCTAGCACCGAGCTTATGGACTCTCATCACCATCGCACTGTTTCGTGCGCTGGCAGGCGTTACTTCCGTCACCTGGCTGCAAGAGGACACCACGATGTTCGCGGACGACCTATTACTCCAGTGGGTCGTCCACCGAGTTCAGGATTTGGAGAATATGGTGGACATCATCGCTCACACCTTTCGGATCCTAGCTCAGCTTGGCCTTCAAGTTCAGCATCGGAAAACACAACTCATTGTGGCATATAAAGGACGGCAGGCCACACAATGGTGGCGAGCTCACACGGCCTCCACTTTGGAGGGCCGCTTCCTGCTTATACCCCAACCTGGCAGCAAGGCACTCCGCCTGCCCATCGTGGCTAAGCTGACGTACCTAGGCATTATCCTCTCCTATGTGGATGCCACTACTGCCACGGTTGAACACCGTCTACAGGTAGGCGAGGCACAGCGAGCTCGCCTTCTCAAGGTCCTCCACTCCCGCACACTGCCTACGACTAAGAGAGTGCAACTCTGGCTGGCTTGTGTCCGGAGCTCTGCCCTGTATGGTCTACACCTAGTGGACTTACAGCAAAGGCACGTAGTACGTATCACAGTCACCTTGGTCAGGCATCTGAGGGCCATCGCACGCAGCTTTGCGCACATGACTCAGGAATCCAGCAGAGCGCTGCTCGAGCGCCTGCACGTAGAGGACCCACTACTTTCCTTGCTGCAGCGGAGCCAAAAACTGCTTGTCAAGACTCGTGATTCTAGCGATCCCATGGTTGCCAGGCCTCGGATCATGAACTGGTTGGTTCATATCACTGAATCCAAACTGGCGCTGACCTCACACCTGGACCGGACCATAGCGGAACCCTCGGTTGCTAACCCGCCACCTCAGGATGCTGACCTTAAGTCTGAGGAGATCGCGGCTGCATCTCCCACGCTCCTGCCCGGCCCCCTGAAAGGGGTGCCGTACGGTGCCCATGTCGCTGGTAAACACGGTCCCAGAACCACTCGCTTCTCCTGCCCAACCTGCGACCTCTGGTTTCCGGACCTGGCTACTCTCAAAAGGCGCCACAGTCAGTTTCATGAAACCCCCCTACCGAACCCTCTCCTTCAGATGGATGCAGCAGAGGTGCGCAAACACAGCGTCGATGGGATGCCCGTTTGTATGCACTGTCGTAAGGACTTCACCACCTGGCACAACTTTCGGAGACATATCACGCAAGGGCACTGCACCCAACATCGACAACAGTCGGACCCTTCCTTCGTAGTGTCATCGACAGATGCAATCTCTGAGTCACGTAGCCATGCCATTCCGGTTTGTAGGCCCTCTCATCCCTCTCCTGTTTCCATCACAGCTGACCCTCCCCAAGAGTCGATTGGTACCACAGTGCCAGAAGAGCAGACCCCTGCTAGAGTGACCGAGGTGACTACGACGGCAACGGCCCAGACCCCGGTGGCGCCGTACACTGTAGCCGCTCACACAGGCTCACCGCTTGATGGCTTACTGCCGGAAAAACCTGAGGACTGGCTACGATTTGCTCGACAGCCCAAAGCTCAGGAGCTTTTGCGGCAGTTCTGCACTACGTGCGGACAGTGGCTCGTATCGGTCAAGAGCGTCAAGTTGCACTATCGCTCAGTGCATCAGGCTCTATATGCGACGCACGGTGCGTCTGCGGCAGCAGATTGCCGAAAAATGGGACATCTCATTTCACCCTGCGTTTTTTGCGGCACTAAGGTTACACGGACAGACCAGCATGCTGCTACATGCCCGGTCCTTTCATTTGTTGTCTTGCTCAGAGCAACGTCAGCAGAACAAGGTGACCCGCTCCCTGAAGCAAACTCTCATCCAATATCTTGCAGCAGAACTCGTGACCAGGATCAATGCATTCGCGGCCGACACCGAGTCCCAGCGGAAAGCCCAGGAATTAGGATGGACTACGTCGGAGGGGGAGTTCAACTTCTTGGACTGGGACTTCGAGGAGAAGAAGCTCGTCCCCCGGCAGGCGGAGACGCTCACCCACGACCAGATCCTCACAGACGCCAAGCGACTCAAGACCTTGCTGAAGAATCCGGACCTAGTCTTGAAGTTCAGCGGAGGCCGCAACGCCAAGCCCGACTCGACATCCGAGACAGCGACGTTTGTGTTGGAACTGTCCATGCAGCAACCAGAAGCATCGGAGGCGATGGCGATCTTCCGGAAATGGTATGCCAACTCAGCGCTCCTGCTCCTCTCTCTCCGGCTCAAACCGGCCCGCCCAGAGCGGTCGCCGTTGATCAAGGAGATCCAGGAGGCCGTGGGATGGTAGATGGCAGGGAACTCAGGTCTGTGTGCATTCCTGCTGCACTGCTGCATCTTACACTGCACAACCCAGACAATCTTTGCTACATAAATGCCACTGCGTACCTGCTAGCCTACATTCAACACCTTGCTGGACCCTGTACTCAATTCCATGGCACCCAGTCTCTTGAGCGGTCACTGCAAGATTTGTTGAGTGCTCCTGTCCCTATACCTGGAGAGCGGCTTACCATCCCTGATCTTCCCGGGTGGCACTCTTTCCTCAGCGGCTGGACGAACATGCATCGCCAGCAAGACTGCCTTGAGCTCATACATCACTTGTTTGACCAACACTGCCCAGCACACATGCGATGTCAGTGGGAGGCAAGACCGATACCAGGTACTGTTGCAGCTCGCAGACCCCTTATAAGTGGTCTTTTCAGCATTGACCTCCCTCTCCCTAAGAAAACCTCCAGTGCCACCATCCAAGAATGCATTATCAGCTGGCACGAACAGAGGATTCCCCACGGCCTTCTCCAAGCACCGCCTTACCTGCTAACCAGCCTTGCCCGACATGCAAACCCCACCAAAGGGAAAAATAAGACGCGTGTCCCTTGTAAGGCCATGCAGCAAGTCAGCTTTCCCGTCTTTCGAGGTCCTGGACATGAGATCCAATGGGCCACCTACGAGCTGGTGGCGGGGATTTTACACCTGGGGCCCTCGCCCCAGCAAGGCCACTATCGTGCATTTCTTGCGCATCCACGTGATGCCCACAACATTGCATCCCAGGTGTCTGCAGCTTCACGGCCAGGAAATGTGGCACCTGCAGGTGCAACGGGGATTTCGGCCCCCTCGGGGAGACCGTCGGCCCCTTCGGGGAGCCTGACCTACACCTGGTGGTGTACAGAAGATGGTCAACCGCCCGAGTTGTGTCATCCAACATATGCTCGGATCCTGAGTGAGAATTGCTACATTCTCGGCTTTCGTCTCACTAAGCTTTGATCTGTATAGCCAGTGATGCCGGTGTTAGAGTTAGTATCGAACTGCGGACTGCAAATCCATGTAGTCAGAGCTCGATTTCAGTTTCAGTTTCAGCTCGTCGAGCTGATGTTGTCTAAGGCGATGTACATTACAGCTCTCGTTAGCCGCGCTGAATTCATTTCTGAATTCGGCGTGTCGCCTACGCCGCGCAAGGGACCAGGGGACGGTTCTGCGATCGCAAAGTCAAAAAGTCTTTCTCTCTCTCTCTATCTCTCTCGCTCTCTCTCTCTCTTTCTCGCTCTCTCTCTCTCTCTCTCTCTCTGTCTCTCTCTCTCTCTCTCTCTCTGTACATGACATAGACGTTGCGTTGCATGGAGCAGTGTGGCACGGTCTGCGATGACCATGTTACGGTATGCCTGGCATGTTACTGTGATTTTCGGCGCCCTGGGTGCTTCCAATCCGAACAGCAACGAGCAACACAGCGGGGGCACTGTTCTCCACTTTGTGGAGACGAGCACACTTTGGCTGCAGCTTGCAAACTCTGTACTATGCGGGCCTGCTCCACTCCACTTTTAAAAACCGGGAGCAGGACCACTCCGCGCTTCGACGAGGAGCTTCCTCGAACCTAGAATGGAACCTCCACGTAGCCGTCAGCTATCGCCAGTGAGGACACCCTCCGGCACTCCGAGGTGTCCCCCTTAAGACCCAGCTGAAGGAAATGCGGGATCGACTGTCCCCTGGCAAAGTCGGCCGCGGCCCAGTTCCGGCAGTTGCGTAGCTCCAGTCTGGCACCGGCGGAGATGAGGGCTGCTGCAGCCTCGAACTGAGCCGACTTGACGGCCTGCATCAGTGGAGTGCTGCCGTGGAGGTGATAGGCATGAGCCGTCATCACGGAAACCTTAAGGCCGATGCGGTGCTGCAAGGACTTCAGGCCCACAAGCAGCCGGCCCAGCGGCCTGTAGTCGCGAGGCAACTTGAACTGAAAATTTACGTCGGCACAGAGTTCAAGGAGGTAGAGCACCAGCTCCGCCGAGCCGCCCCGAAAAGTTGCAGCACCCCAGAGCGCTCTTGAAAGCTCCAAGGCATCCGGGCGCCCTTGCAGCACCAGCTCCTTCAAAGCTGAGACGGCCGCATAGGAGGCAGCAGCCTCCAAGTTGGTGGCACCAACCACGTTATTGGACAGTGGCTTCAGGCCTGCCACACAGAGTTCCCGGATACCCTCTGCATTGTCAGAGATTGCCGCAAAGACGACAGGACTGCCAGCAAGTCCACCCTCCAACTCGGCCCTCACCGCAAGAAGCCATCGTGTTGCCTCGTGGTGCTTGTAGAAGCTGGTAATCTCAAGCACCGACGTCCAAGGCGGAAAGCCCAGCATCGGCTCATCCTTCGATGTGCGCCGGTTCAAGTCGGCACGCAGCTCCAGCAGCCCTTTCATTACTGCCGTATTGCCTGCGAGGGCAGCGTAGTGCAGCGGACGCCATCCTGCGCCGTCGGCCTCGTCGACGCTCCTCAATCCATTCTGATGGAGGAACTCTGCCACTGGGTCGCCATCACAGACCGCTTCAAGCATGCCATCCACTGGCTCGATTTCCAGGCCTCGTAGATGAACCTCTTGGAGGTTGAAGTGCCGCCGGAACCCGGGAAGGTCGCCTCCTCGAAGGCACTGACTCAACTTTTGTACCAGGATCTGCCGCATCACCGGGGCCAGCTTCTGCCGATCATCCGCAACTGTGAAGTCGCCCTCACCGACCCATCCACTCGGAAACGACAGCACTGTGCCCACAACTTCCATAGAGGTATCGCTGCGAATCAGAATCCAAGTGCTGTCTGGTGACAGCTCTCGCGCAGCGCGCTCTAGGCGGCACCACCCCCTTCGGCTCCACGTGCCCGCTGTCAACACCTTGCCCTCGAAGGGGCAATCGAGCACCGGGCATAAAGCCAGGAAAAAGCGGCACTTGGCGACGTAAGCTGGGATGCTGTTGATAGCACTGGCTTGCTGGCTTCCGTCCGTCTCATCTGCGCCGAAAGACTTCCTTTCCTCCAGCTGCGGGCACGAGAAATAGTCGTACCAAAGGAACAAGGCCCTTAGCTGAAATTCCTGCAAGGGTATCGGCTTGGCAGTACGTACGAAGCTTTCAGTAATTTGGTCCAGTGAAACCGACCCACGGCCACTCAGGAGCCGCTTCACGGCATCCTGCAGATTGCGCATCTGCTTGAAGTCGGGATCCGGGTGCTCAGTAGCAACCCACTGATGCGAAACGAAGGCTGCTCTGCCCATGTCGTCGCTGAAGACGACGAGCTCCCCCCGCGCCTCCAAGGCACCAGTCCCTTACCAAACCTCCCCGTTGACTAAATGGGCCCAAGCCTACAACATTTGCGTTTTGGTGGTGGCCACTGAAATCCAGCAGGCTCTTTCAGAAATCGGAGTGCTGTCATCTCAGTTCTGCCTGTAACCCTGCTACTGCGACTACCGTATGCTTGCGCATGAACCTTCATCTCGGAACAGGACTAGTAATAATATATGCCCTTGTAGTCCACAACAGCATCCCATCAGAAAACACATCTTCGCAGCACCACATGTAAGCATCTAGCCCGACCGTTACTACAAAGACTGCCAGACACGATCGAATCCTTCGGCACTTGTGCTGAGGCCCACGGCATGTGAAAGCTCCTGCCTTCAACTCCTCGTGTGGCTCGACCTTCGTCATTTTGAGTAGCATGTCTGCGGCGACAGTGTACATGGGGAAGAGCATCGGAGCTGCCTGAGCCCGTGGTTGGCACACAGAAGGCTTCAGACCTCCTGCGAGAATGATGAGCTGAGGAAGTTTCTAAACTGGGAGTTGGGAGAATCATCGGGTGATACCAAGCGGCGTCTGCGTCACTCGGCAGTGCTCTAGCGTAGGTCTCCAGCGGCGTCGCTGATTTTCCGGAGACGCAGCATGCCATGGGTTCCCGTCCGAAAAGCTCCGCATTCAAAAGAGAGCTCCTGCTGGCCTGCCATCTGCGTCCCGAGCCACAAACACTGCTACGGATGCTGCAATAGCCCTCGTTGTTACCACTGCTGTTGTCGTGATCCTAATCTCGCTACGAGCAAAGTTGTCCTACAGGCAAGAGTTTGGGCACTGTTTTACACAGTACCCTTTCGGTAATTAGCCCATCGTAGCGAGGCGGGCCGGACCTCTAGAACAGCCTCTCGTAAATGGTTCATACTTCGGAGTGCCAATCTGTCGGCAAGGTGAAACTTCGTGCGGGGTGAGAGCATGCAAGGGCTGTAGGCCCTTTGTCGTGTCTCGGTTTGTCCAGGGACTCTTCCATCCCACTTCTAGCTATGCAGAGGTCAACGGTCTCGGATTGAGCCCCGGACCTTTATGACTTTGTCCCTAGCTTTGTGTGGTTCTCGTTGAAAAAGCAGGTGAAGTATCTTAACGGGCAGGGGAGTAGCTTTGCTTCGTCTCGTTGAGGTGAAATAACAACTGAACTTCTCCGAATCTTGAAAAGCTCCAATTGAGATTCGGAATCCTTCGCTGGGAAGCCTGGGCCTCATGGGGTGGCTCCTGTAAAGCCAAGCCCTAGACACTTCCATTCTCGTCGAGACCCTGTCAGACTTCCAAAACTTACGACACTTCAAGACATGCCCAGTTCAAGCTTTTCGGAATCTTTCCAATATTTCAGGGCGATGGGTCCTCGCGCATGCCGTCCACCAAGTTCTCGGGGACCTCATGCCATAATGCATCTCTTCGGGAGCGGAACGGCCACGGGGTGTTGGATTCAGGTCTGCAGTTCTCCACTGCACTCCGGGATCCCAGATACCTTTGAGGACTCTGATAAGCGTGATAACGGCGTGCGGCTTTCGTTTTTGGGAGAGTTTCGGACTGGGGGTCACCTCGGAACTCTGCGAAATCCTGCCGTCACTCCGAGAGCTCAGTTCCTGACGTCGTTGCCGAAGCCGGCGTAGCCTCTCTTCTCAGGCTGGGTGTAGGGTTTAGGGGCTTAGGGTTTAGCTGCTGCGAATAGAAAGCGGTGTGTAATCATGGTGAATGGGGGCTGAAAGGGTTTGTTGCTCAGGCTTCCAGGTGATAGACTCGACAGACGTTGAAGTGATGCTAACCCCGGGATAAACTGCCTCTGCTCACGAAGGAATGCTGAGCCTCTTCAATGTAGCGGCCTGTGGTCGTAGGGCAAATGCTGCCGGGAAGCCCAAGATCATGATGGGCAGGAACATCGCCAAAGCCTGATGCCCAGGTATGCATGCCTGCACGAGCCACAACTGCTCTACGATATCCTGGTAGGTGGCGGTCAAACCAACTTTGGATCATGCCGCATTCTCGGCAATCCTACTGGAATGCACTACCAGTTGTCTGTGTGATGCCCTTTGAACCTGTGATGCCTTCAAGCTTTCAGAATCGGATGAATAGCTTTCATGTGCCATCAAAGTCAGGAATCGGGCATGCTGGAATTCCTGAAGCCTCATACTGTAGTAAGAACCTGACACACACACACACAACCCTGGGGTTTCAACATCCCACAATTGACAGGATCCTTCCGGAGCGCGGCAATAAGAAGCAGCGGTCTCTTTATCAGGTTTCTAGATTCGACTTTCGGTGCCACTTCGGAACCTGAATTGTGCTAGGAGCCGGCTGCTGCCAAGGAGCCACGAAGTATGCCTGATGGATTGGGGCCGTTTAGGGTTTGCGGCCCTGGCGGGCCTTTGACAGGGGATGGGGCTGTGGAGCAGCTTGCAGGTCCTGTCACGAACCGCAGGAAGGAAGCCGTCACACGGAGAGGTCGCATAAACTAGCAGCCAATGTTCAGTAGTTGACCAACCTAGTGACATTAGCCGGCGAAATCAACGGCTCAACAATCGAATCATGCGAACTATTCTCAGACAGAACCACCTACCTTGCCCACACAGCCGTATCTTCGTTCTGGCATCGCAGAGGAGCTGGAGGGCTCAAGTGTGGTAACTCGAAAACTTGCTCCAATACATTCTTCGGATCACTCTTGCCACGTACGCTTCACTATGTACACGCCGAACCGCAGCAGTCAATGACAAACTGAATCCCTCTTGAGCAAGCCCGTCAACGCCAACAGGGCCCTTTGTCGTCTCCGAGGTACAAGAATGGCTGCTGGAGCTGTCCTTGGGGAGCCATTGCGCTTGACGTTGCCAAATTTGACCCAGATGCCGAGAAACTGCTTTGCATCTCTACTACAATCGGTTTTGGTGCCTTTTGTGACCAGGCCATGGATTCCCAGATCTGATAACCGAAGACAGGCCCCGCTGTTGGCTTCAAAATCCTGTGACCCTAAGCCTGACGGTGTCCTGGATCTGGGGAGAAAAGGAGGGACCCTTAATAAGGACCCCTAGGTTATAGAACATTAACATATAGCCTGTTATGAGGTAGAATTCAACCCTGGAAGGCCTAAGCCCTGGAACTGAGGCCCTGGGCCCCATAAGCCCAAAGCAAGAAACGCCCTGAACCCTCAACTCGAAAAGGCACTGACGCTTTGAGCAACCCTTAGAGGAAACCTAACCCCGGCTCCCATTGAGCTTGGCGGCTTCTTCGGATCCTTCATCTGATGTCGCAGAGTAGGCACTGTGACAATCACCGCGAAGTTGTAGAAGCCTCACAGCCACATGAAGGTTTTCTAACACATGGACGAGGTGAATAAATAGAACAAGGTCTTGGTGCAATTTAATCAAGGGCTCTCAGGGGAGACTTCAGGAATTCATGATTCCGACCCCTACGTATCAGGGTGCCTCAAGTCAAGGACCACCTGCGAAAGCCCACTGACCCAGCAAACATCTTCACATTTCCGGTTGAGGACCTGATCACGTCTTTTTCGAGTCTTGCTTTTTGGTTGCTGCTCCGCGCACCCGCAAGGGAGTTGCTCCTGCTGCGGCTGCCTGGTGGTAGCAGACCTCCTAGCCCAACAAGAGCAAGCTCGCGATCTGCGCATGGCCTTTCGCAACGGCTATGCCCAAAGGCGTCTCGCCCAGCACGGTGTCAGCTCGATTCTTGTCCGCCCGTGCCTCCAGAAGCAAGCACACAATATCCACATGGCCTTTGCTTGATGCGATCCAAAGAGGCGATTGTCCAAAGGTGTTTTGGCAGTCTTTGTCAGCCCGAGCCTCTAGAAGCAACCGTAGAACTTGAGCATGGCCCCTCTCAGAGGCCACCCAGAGAGGCGTCTTGCCTCGTGCAAAGTCATCGAAGCCTTCCAGCATTTTGCTCGCGAGCTTTTTGTCGGCCATCTGGGATATCCTGAGCATTTCTTGCGATCTTTCACCGATTCCAGCGTTCAACCAGCAATGCCGACGGAAGCATGCATAGACGAAGCAAAGGTGCTTAGAACGGGTTAACACCTAAACGGAACATTCAAAAGAGATCAAAAGCATACTGTAAATTTTGACGCCCCAAGATCTTGGATACAATTTTGCATTGTTCGCTTTCAGTGCCAGTGTCGCAAGACTCCTTTTCAGCACCGGCTTGTAACAACAGCTCTGCCACTTCCGTGTGGCCTTTCTCACATGCCGCAACGAGTGGTGTCACAAAGACACCTTCATCATTGTAACCAAAGAAGTTGGGGTCAATCTGTTTTTGCAGAAACTCTTCTACCTTCGACGTGACGCCACCTGCAGCAGCTCCTATTATCTCGTCCATCTCTGGCTCCGATGCGCTTGTAAAAGGTAAGACAACCAACTGCAGAGTCATTGCGTCCAGCTCGGCATCCTCCTCCAAGCAAGTCCCACTTTCTTGAACCTTAGCCGCCCTTATAACCATAATAGCCATCCCATTTTTTTAATTAATTCCCTTATAAGTTATACTGTAAGAATAAAACACATAATTCCTAAGACAGTACAGGAACCAATCTCTGCCGAAATCGTGGAATGCCTGAGAGACCCTGCAAGTCGCACTTCAGCTTCTCTGCGGTCGTCAGCTGCTCCGCAGGAATGGCAGCCAGCTCTTCTCCAGATGCCATGAACACACGCAGCATCGTGTTCCGGATTCTAAGTTGCCTTTCGGTGATTACGAGCTTTATTTAAGCATTAGGCGGCGTGATCCCAAGGATGCCCCATGTCAGGCTGCTGTGCCGTGCAGGATTCCAGAAACAAGAGGCAAGGAACCACAAGAACCGCCGAAGAGCCAAGATGTTGTTTTTTTGGTTGACCTCCAAGTCTCTCTGGCTACAAAATGAGCTGAACAGGAAGAATTGCACTGAAACAACAGTACCTAAGCCCTAACTCCTGAACAAGAGACCATCTAAGCTGCTCCGCTTCTTCATCCCCAAAGGCCGTCGTCCCAGCACTGCTCTCAGGTTGCGGCCATAAGAGCCCACCTGGGCCAAAGGCAGCAGAATGTCGACCTTGGCGGGAGTTCGGCTTGTGATCTTGCCTCTTGCATGTCCTTCACACGGAACAAAATTGCGGTGATCACGAATCAGCGTCACGAAGAAGCCCGCATGTGTGACACACTAACTCTTGAGAAGGCCTTGTCGGTATTCGGCGGCTGTTAAACTTAAGACTTGAAAGGCACGCCCTCCGTTTTCCGCTCGTACCATTCTCAAGACTTTGAACCCCTGCCTCTTACTACCACACTGAGCTCATTTTGCTCACCTCTATACCCGGGGGCTGATGAACAGGTCTTCTGAGCATGTTGCACTAGAAATCAAATTTCTCAGCTCCGCGAGATTCAATAACCATGGAGTAGATAATAAAAAGGGGCCTTAATTAATAATGAGAATAGGGTTTTGGGGGCCCACTATGCTATAAACATAATATTAAGGACCCCCAAAATTGGTTATTATTTAAGCCCCTATAGTAGCTGGCGGGCCCGGCAAATTCGTAGCAAGACGGAAATGTTGCGTTTAGGGCTTAGGGTTCACATGATTGTAGCTCTGAAGCACGGAGTGCGTAGAATCACTTTAGAACCAGCGCAGCTTGCAAT